TTCCGGCTGCGGCTAGATCGGGGGTCCCGAGGGCTGGCGCCTTCCACAGAGACTTTCCGCGAACACCACAAACCCGAAGCAGTCGCTTAGGGAAAATTAAGAGTCAGCAGCGGTTCCCTGTTCGCTTCCGAGCGGAGCGCCTGGCGGCGACTCCTTAGAGGGATGGTGGCGGGTCTAAGCCTGCTCTCCCCGGGAGGTTTGCACGCCGCGGAAAGAAAGCAAGAGAAGGCTCGGGGCTTCCAGGAACAAGGTGCTGTTTCGGCTTTGTGTGTAGCATTTATGACGGGTTGTTTTTTTTTTTTTTTTTTTGCCGTCTCTCTTTGTGGAGGAATCTATAGATCCAGCTCAACCAAGTGATTATTATGTGGGTGACTTACCTGAAAAATAGCTGGCAGGTTGGATACGGCACTTCCTACGTATGGCACTACCGTGTGAAAGTGGGACATGGCGCTGCCTGTGCTCCCGCTGTGAGCTGTTAGTTAGACTGAAAAGGGGAAATTCTGCACTCTCTGTCTTTCAGTACCCTTACTATGATTCGCCAGGAAACTTTCTGTCCTACATTGGAGTTAATGCTGCTTGCCACTTGTAATCTGGAGCTACCCAGAAACAGTTATTGAAAGTTGCCATAAATGTGAACAATGCATTTTGTAGAAGTGAACAAGTTAACAAGTTATTTTTATTGTCTTCCCCGCTGTTTACAGATTGCATTTGCCACCCTAAAGGTGTTTTGGAGACCATTCTTCAATCAAAGTTTTTGTTTTATCATCTAATTTATTTAACACTTAAGTGAATGTTGACAAACATTGTATTTAAAGTTTGTGTGGTAGAGTACTGAATGTGCAAAACACCAGCATGATTTTAAACTGCCCTATAAAATTTCGCATGTTGATTCTGCATAGGAGAAGTCCTCTAGCAATTTAATTTGCTTCATTCCTTGAGTAATAAATACAATCTGTAAGCTGTACAGTTGTTCTGTAAGAAGAATGTTGTTTTATAAACAAAACATATGTAAACAAAATAATTTATTTTTCTTTTCAGATCTACCTGGACTGCAGTGTACACAGTACATTGAAGGACTGCAGAGGGAAGCCCAACAAGCTCTGAATGAACATGTCAGACTCATTCACAGAGGTGATGAAGCCAGATTTGCCAAGCTGAATGTTGTTCTGTCCTTGTTAAGATCTATTAATGCTAATGTGATTGCCGAACTATTCTTTAGGCCCATCATTGGAGCAGTGAACATGGATGACATGCTTTTGGAAATGCTTTGTGCAAAATTATAAAGGCATGTAAAATAATGAAAATAAATCCAATGCAAAGGAAGTCCTAGAGCAGAATAGTGTAAAGTACTGTAAATAAACTAACTTATTGTTTTTACATAGATAGTATTTTTGTATTCCATAATAAATATTCTTCAAGTTCTGAAATTAATTTTTATTAAACACAATGTTTTTGGAATAAGATTACAGTCATCAAAACAAGCTTTAAGGTAGTGGAGAATGTTCATAACTGAAGTCAACTGGCTATTCTTTTACCATGTCTCTGAATAAAGATCACACTTACTATATTGTACTTCCAAGGTGAGTAATTCCTGCTTTTTCAAAATAAGCAGCAGTCTAGGTTTACATTTTAAACATAGTTGGCATACAGAAAGGAGGAATGAACAAGCCATTTACTTTGCATATTTCAGTAATATTAAAATAGGGTACTGTAGTCAATTCTGCTCATATCAAAGCTCTATTAAAGATTTACTGCAGTTGGTAAACTACTTCTATTGATTTTAACAGGCTTGAAGTCTATAAAGAATAAAAGAAAATATTCACAAAAGATTTTCTTCCATATAGGGAAAATGCATTAGGAATATTTTGAGGCTTAATGAACCTTAAAGTAGCTTGGCCAACTCTAAGGCTTATGGTAAAACATTCCATTCAACACATGTTGGGCTCCAGGAGAATAAAATATTCCTCAAAACAACAAGCAAACAAAACCAACTCTAAAAATATCCAAACAGTAAATGCTGAATAGGGTCAGGAGACCTACTGGTGTGGACTCCATGCTTTTATTTGCTTTTCATCTAGGCAATTGCTAGCTAGGATTTCCATAGCCAGATTCTTCAGACTACTTATTTCTACAGATATACAAAATTACTATGCTGAAACATGGTGTACCACTGGTACATCCATCAGAATTTGTCAGCTAGCGTGAAGATGTCTTAATTAAACATCGAGCTTACACATGTATTTTTTTTGTCTTGGACTTGATCCTTTCTTCCAAAGCGGATGTATTTTTGTTGAAAAAAAAAAAATAATCCTGGTTTAAAAAATAAAATCAGAAAGTGAAAATCAGTTACTTAAGGGGGGATTTGTTTCATGGTTTTCCTTTCTCTGCATGCAATTTTCTAGCCTTTCTCCTGGGGAATATTGGTAAAAATGGCGAGAGAAGTGTAACAGTGTTTCTGAAGTAAAAGATATCAGTAAGTCTATGTATCGTTCACATGTATATTAACCACTAGCAATAAGAGGTGTATTTTCAAACACAATTAATAAAGTTGAAGCAGTTACTCTCCTTAACAGGAGGTGTGCATGGGAGAGAGGAATGAGTTTGCACAGCTTCCTTTTGCTGCCACCTTGCGCAAAGGATAATCACAACTCCTACACTCAGGTAAGGAGCAGGGGGGACTCTTGTTGTCTTGTACCTACCCAGATGAAACTTACGGAAAAAGGAAATGACTGGAGGGGTGGCCAGACATTCCTAGGGGTACAAGTTCACCCATAAGTATTATCAGTGAGATGTGTATTGCCCTGGCAATAAGAATCATGGACTGGGATACTGTCATTGAGCAAACAAAACAAAGCAAGAAACACAACCCGCATCCTGAAAAGCAGTGGTGTAACCTAAATGCATACTCTTCTGGTGCTCACCTAATGCTGTGCCCTGAGGAGGTCCCCATAAATTCCAAAGAACAAAAGTGCTCTTCACTATCAATCCAGACTTCAGATCAGTTCAGACCATGATAGAGCAGGCTTTGTGTTACGTCAGTGCTTTTATATGTACACGCAATGCATGTACACACGTACGGCAAATATATACATATGGAGAATATTTACTGTGTATGTATAAATGTTCTGTGAGTTTACAATAGCTTCTGAGCTTATCTAACATCTCTGTAACATAAATATACATACATGTTTCCCTCTTTCTCTGTAAACAGCATATGAGCTTAAAATAGTTAGCTTTCAAGGATGCCTGACAAAGAAATCTCTTTCCACAAAAGCACAAAGCACAATGATAAAACATTTAAATAGTGGTTAGCGGCAGATGATAAGTCTTGAGTAAGGACTAAAAGAAAATTCAACAGCCTCAGATTAAAACAGTGTCATTGCCACTGAGAATTTGTTAATACACTAGTGTGCAGACTTTTCTGCTGAGTGGCAGAAGAAAGTTGCTGGCAGCACTCCTAACAATGAATTGTAATAGCTGAACCTTGGTCACAGGCAAGGGTTTTCAGCTGAACAGTCACCTTGAGACAGTTTGGATCTATTGTGCCACTAAATACAAAAGTGTTCATGATTCCGGTGGACCTGCTTATATCTCCAGGTTTGATACTCTGAACAAATTCTGTATTCTGCTCAATTTTCTGAAGTTGTCATGAAAAATACTGCTTCTGTGCACAACGAATCCACCTTGAACTCGCTGCACTCTTATCATATTTCTCTTGGACTGGCAATGCTGGTAGTCATTTAGCTGTTGTCTATTCAAATGGAAGCACCTGGGAACAGTAAGTAGAAATATGAATGGGAAAAACAATTTCTCAAGGCTTTCTGGAGAGAACTGGCATAAAAAGTGTCTCTTCATAGGTCAGAGGAACAGGAATGACAAAGCAAGAAATTTAAAAAAAGACTTGTAGGAGGAACCAAGCTGAAGACTTGGAGAACCACGCAGGGATGGGAGAGAAGAGACTGATATGGTTCTGGAACAGGGTGGGGAAGGGTCTGATTTTAATGGGGGACAATGTGCCAAGAGCTGACTGGAAGCAGGTGAAAAGAGATTGTAACTCTCAAGACAAGCCAGAGCTTGAGCAAAAGGTGCCTGTGGGAAGGCTGTGTCAAGTCCAGAAAATACTGCAGAGCAGGGAAGAACCCACCCCAGGAGCTGACAGAAGGACACAGGCATCCGCACCAACCTGCTGGGACTGAGTGGCCTGTTCTCTCCTCCACTGGTGCCTCTGCTGAGTGGCAGCTGAGCAGGCACAAAGAGCAAGCTGCTCAGCCTTTGTCTGTGAGCAGACGGTGCTCGCAGAAGCAAGCAAAACTACTCTGTTGCCCCAGACCTTAGACCTTGGGTGCTCTACAGCATAGGCAGGAAAAGAACAGGGTTAGATCCTCTTCTGGCCCGACTCCGTGCTGTGCAGGGTGGGTGAACTCTGAATCGGATGGCCTACATGGCGACGGCCACAGCCGCTGCTGTGACACAAGAGGTGATCTCTCTGGATATCCCCAGCAGCAGGGGTAGGACAACCTGCTGGAGGCCTCAGGCAGGCAGGGGAGAAGGATGGGCACAGGAGAAGAGCAAGGGAGAAGGGTGCTCCTGTGGGCGTAGAAGTATGCTCCCATGACTATGTAGCTTTTACCAGAAGGAGCAGGGGTCAAGACCCTCCCGCAGCTTCAGGTGCCTAAAGGGGTAGTGGATGAGTCCTCTGTTTGTCAGCTACTGGGGACTCCTGCAGAGGTACAAACGTGCCTCCAGCCCTGTCTTCTGCCAAGCAGTGCTGTGCTGTGCTGCGAGCTCTGCACTGTTAGAAGCAGCATAACATTTCTCCTCACGGTCTTAAATGTACCAGCAAAAACTACTTTCCAGTTCAGATATTAACATGACTTCTGAGGATTTTTAAGCATTTGCGCTGCTCTCTGTCCCTGGCATTCTGGGCATGAATCTTCTCATAAGCACGTTCTTTTTTCAGCCCTCCAGGATCTTAGAGACTTTTTTAACTAAGAGCAGCCTCCCAAGCAATTTAATCCTGCAATCCCCACAGTGACTGTCTCAGTTACACAGAAGCAGAGCTGCATGAAAAGCCATTCGCACCCACCTCAGCGCAGATGCCCATTGCTTGTGGTCAGGACCGCAACACCACCAGTCCAGACACCGGCTTCTAATCACAAAGTGCCACTCGACTGAGGTTACTGCTGAAGAAATCTGAGAAAGGATAGTGTAGAAACCAACTTGCATTTTTAGTTAATATGTTTATGAGTGTTTCTTTTAGATAAGATAAAGCATGGCATTTATTTATAATCTTACTTTTCCAAGTTCAATATATAACCTTTGTTTGGGTATTCTTTCTAATAGTTAATTTTAAACTTTGCAGCAGTTTGTTGTTGTGGATACACTATGAATGCTGTTAATGCCTTATAAGCAGTAATTTACTCCCAGAGGTGTGGTTCTGGAACTTACATTTTTGTGTTTTGAAGAGCCTTCATATACTGGCTTGAATTTATTATACTGTTAGTTGTTTTCATTTCTCTTCAAAGACAAAACTTTTCCTCTAGTGGACCTTCTGGGCATTGCAATATGTGGCAAAAATAAAATAAATAAAAGGAAATAAAATAAAATGAAATAAAATATCAGAAAGCCAGTTGATGACCTGTTTTTCCTTAATAGAAAAAAGTCCTGAGCAGAAGTTTTGAGATGCAGCTTGAGATCTGCATGCACATATTGCCTTAGCACTCTTAACATTTATTTTAAATTATGGCAGTCTAGTATTTAAAAACTGAAATGTACGCAGGTAAGATTCAATAGCTGAAACCACTCGAGTCTGGCAGAGGAACTTTGACAAAAATGTTCTTAAGTCAACAAGCACTGTGAGGACACAGGGCTATAACTTGTTAGATGGCACCGTGCACAAATCCACAAATCGTTCAAGTTGCTGATATAAATCAGTAGTCATTTCACTGCTTATGTCAGCAATCAAATCAGCCCAGCTTCTTTTAGATATTCACACCATGTCTAGATGTAGGTAAATAACCACATAAGTGTTTATACAAGCACACATGATACACAGACACCTTTTCGTCTGTGTATACTTATGTTATTTACTTATTTTATATAAGGAGAATTACAGTAGTTTCAGGTTCAGAAAAGAGAAGCAGTCCTTTCATTTTATACTACCACTCACCATTTTGTCACATAGGATGAATTTCACCTTGCTTAAACTGAGCTGTCTGAAAATTTGACATCCAGTCTAGTCGGGACATCTATGGAGAGGCACAAAGACGTCCAGATAGCGTTT